AAATCTTGGGTCTCACCTGTTCGACTGCTTTGCGCTGAGAGTCATTAAAAAAGTTATCGGGTGCGGAATCGGAGATCTTCTGGATGAGCCTTGCTGTTACCACTGGGGTCGGGTACCAAACAAAATTAAAGTAGAAGAGTGCCAGGGCTAATGCAACAATCAGCATGCCACCAGGCACAAATACCGAGGGAGTCACAGTGCCACTTGTCATGATGCGATCGACTTTGCCCGGTCGGGGCCGGGGACGGGGCCGCCAATGAGGTCTTCCAAAATAAGTTTCTTGTTGACCTCCGGGTCTCCTTCTGCGCGGTTTGTCTTTCCGTCCATGGGATGGAGATAGAGGGTGGTGACTTCCATTATACACAGAACTTTCCTGTGTTAACTTTGGATGTAAGAGTACAATGTCAGATTGATTCCCTTTGACGTGTGACCATTGATTATTGGAGTTTATAAAACCATTACCCCAGTGGTTATCAACGCTACCCATTGGTCGTCTTTGGTTATTTGTGAAATAATGATGATCTGGGTCGTAGTGACGATTGTGCAACACTTGCTCATGATACTCGTTACTAGTATACGACTTATTGCGCGGTTGATAATACTGATCATTAGAACCAGTATTGTTACTGCCTGGAAGATGATAACTGGCGCTATAGTGAGTATCATCAATGCCATGATTTTCTGTATGCGATTTATTAACAGGCCGATTATACCGATGATCAGAGAGAACACTTTTATCATATGTTTGGTGTACGTCATCATAATACTCTTGGTAAGTAGGTCGTTGATACCAGTCGTCAGATTGCTCAACGTGAGAATGTTCATGACCTTTGTAGTCGTAATAATACTCGTAATCTACGTAATCGTAGTTTGTTTGAAAAGACTCATTTTTACTTGTGACTGCAAGCTTACTCGAGTGGTAAGTCGCATTTTGCCATTGTTTATGATAAGGATGGTCGATTAAGACTACTGTTGCCGGATATAGGCCAGGGGGAGTTTTATTAGTATTTGTCAAAGCCGTCGTTTTTGTAGGTTCAATCTTATGGTTTCCATTTCTTAATCGATTTCCTCGTAGGAGGTTCAATGGCCAGGCAGCAAAATTTGGGAGATTATCCAAATTAGGAAATTTTGGAAGCTTTGGCAATTTCAATTGCTCCATAAAACTACTATGCCATAACGGTAATTTCGAAGACTCCTGAGAAGGATTATGTAAGTTAAACTCAGGCTGTTGTGTTACTGTTGTATTTTCCAAACTTGGATAGTTATGCTTAGAATCAAGTGACTGTGTGTGCTTAATTACACGGTTGACTTTGCTGTAAGAAGAAGGATAAAGTCTTTCAGGATGGAAAAGGTGGGGCCTTTCCGTCATGCCTGGGTGTCGGCCATACTGAGGTGAAATTTGCGTTGGGTAAGGAGGAGTATGTGTAGTCGTACTGTGTGTCGTTCTTTCGTCAAAGGCGCCAACGAGGTCATCAGGCAGTTGGATGGGCATTGCTTGCCAAGTTGTAGTGTCACTCATATTTTCATCTGCTGACTCTCCGTAGAAATATGGGTAACTGGTATGACCCTGAGTGACAGCAGAGGAATGAGAGGGTGTGTAGGGCCTCGGCGACGCTCGCCAGTACAGGTAAGGAAATTCTGACTTGGTAACGAGATGTGAAGAACCAGGTACCCTAGTAGGATGTGTAAGCACGTCATCTGCTGCAATAAGCCTCGGCAACACGAGCAGGAAAACTAATGCGCGTGAAGACGATGTATACAAGTCTTGGCCGTTGCTGCTGAACATCATGACTGTAAACATGAAAAGATTAAAACAAAATGAAACATTAAGTTATACCATAATAAGATGTCAATGAATATAATCACGCACACTCACAATTATTATCATATATGTGTGTGTGTGTGTATGTATGTATGCATGCATGTATGTATGTGTATGTATGTATATATATGTATATGTATACATATATACCTGTATATCTAGAAATATGTGTATATATAAATATATACATATATACGTAAATATATTCATATATCTACACAGATACATCTATCTATCTATATACATACATGCATTCATACATACATACATACATACATACACACACACATACACAAACACACACACACATACACATATATACAGAAATGTGTGTGAGTGTGTGTGTGTGTGTGTGTGTGTGTGTGTCTGTGTGTGTGTGTGTGTGTATTTACATATATATGTATATATATTTATAGGTGTGTGTGTGCGTGTATGTATTGTTCTTGTTGTGTGTGTGTGTGTCTTTGTGTGTGTATACATGTATAAATACAGTATAGATATATGTACACATACATATGTATGTATGTATGTATATTTAAGTGTGCATATGTGTATATACATAGATCTATATACATATAAACTTTATATACACAAACGTATTTGTATATACACACAAACACATACACACACGTGCACACACACACACACACACATACACACGCATACATACACACGCGT